TGAGTTCTTCTTTGTATTTCTCGACAGTCTGTTTTAGCCGGTCGACCTCTGTCTTCAAGTCTCGCTCTCTTCGTCGCCACTTCTGGCGTTCCACGACTGACACGGCTCTGCGCACATCCACCTGGGTACCTTCATCTTTTGTCGGTACTTCCGCGGCAGATCGTTGGACTTCATCACGGGAGTCATCTCTTTTTGTACACATTTCGAAGCTGTCGTTACCTCCTTGAAGAAGGCTCTTTGAAGTGTGTTGCTTGGAAGTAGACGAGGCAGCCAGGGAAGGGCGAAGAACGGCAGCTTCCCGTTTCCTCACAGCGGCGCCGCTTCGAGGTTTGTTTCGCACTTGGCTGCATGTACTCTGGATACTCTTCGAAGACGCCAAGAGTTGCACCCCTCTTGAGTTTCCGTGTCTTCAATCCTTCCTTGTAGTCCGTGGTGAGGAAATGCCTACTACAAATCACCCAATAACGCGACGTCGTATTCGGAACCCAGTCCTTTCTGGCGACGACTTTCAACCACGTTTCTCTCAGCTGAATGTCACTACGAATCTCGTGAAACGAAATACCTGGTACTTTGCGCAACCAAAACAGTTCCAGAAGTCACGGCGCGAAAACGCGGAGAATAGAGAGAAGAAATTCACGCTGAGCGCATCGCCTCTTCTCGCCCGCGGCCCTCCCCCGCCATCCGGCGATCCGGGGCTGGTGGCGCCGCCTCGCGGAGAAGCAAGGCAAACGCAAACGGCGACTCCGTCGTCTCTGACCAGGCATCCCAGCTATATCCCAGCTGAGATAAAGGAGGCTATGCTACTGTGCTCGCGGAGTGATACACGACCGGCACATCCGGGCACTTCGGACAAGACGTCAACGCGCAGCTACGGCTTTCAAAGGGACGATGTTTTCATTGGCTAGTGTCTTCTGCCGAAGGCATAGAGAAAAATCGGAGACAAATGGCGAGACGACGCCGTACGCGCGGCGTGTCGCCGCACTATACACGAACTCATCTCTGTTACGTCACGGCGCGATGGTGGCGCGTCGGGCGCACTTCCGGTCTGGGACTGTGGGCGGAAGGCGCCATGGGGCATGTGCATTCCTGTGTTACTTCGGAAGAAACAGGACAAAAACCTGCCTTCTCGTCAAAACGCCGCCACTGGGGCTTTACCAAAAGAGTCGGGAAATGTTTGAAGGTCAGTTTTCATGCGTTCTCTGCCTGCTCGGTTCGTCCGAGAACCTGAATAGGGGCTGTTAAAAAGGAAAAACAGACGCCGTCGGACCACGAGTGCTTGGGCGGAAAGCACTTTGGATTGAATTCACAGATACTTGTGGTCGTCAGATTTATTTGTTTTGTGCCAACATGAACGCGGGAAAACTGTCAAGTTGCACAGACCACCTGCGACCTACGTTCAGTGCGTCATCACGTTCAGACAGCCGCCTCATCGTTCGAGCTGTCGTCTGTTCTCTCAAACGTTTCTGCTTGTCGTCTGCTCGTTCAAACGACAGCGGCCCGTAGACCAAATGTTGACCCCGTAATTGCGATAAGAAGTGCAGACCTCAAAAGCCGTTTAAGTTTGAAGGTTGCTTCGGCTAAGTAGTCTCGGTGTAAACAGTAGATGTAAGGAGATGTTGATAATTGTTATCAGTGACCATCACCGACAGTCGTTATGCCTGATTCACTCGGTCCGATTCTGCTTGCGATTTTCAGAATCGACGTCGACATCTCAGCTACGGTTCAGGCTTTTGCAGCCCGAGCGACGTCATGACGGAAAATAGCGAGCAGAACCTCACCATGTGAATCAGGCTTTAGCGTTCATTCTGCGGCGTCCATGCGGAATGAATCGCCGCATGTTTCATTATTCACGCCAAGTTTTGCGGTGGAACGAGCCTCGTTAATTTCGCTGAGGCCGCTCAAGTAGACAGACATTGCCAGGAAGCCGTAGAATCAACAATTCCAACGCGAAAAAGGGGCGTCTGTGGCGTCCGCTAGGGGCGCTCCGGTTTGTTTATAAACATGAGTGTGTGTATATTCTCTCTGCCGGACGGCGCCAGCGCGCCGCTTCAAAGCCATGCCATTCGCGCCTCCCAATCTCCTGAAGAAGCAACGGTCGCTTCTCGCGGTGCGGCCTAGGATCCATCATGGCCGCCTTGGGAGCACCATTGCCATCAAGGAGGTTATAAATACTAGGAGGGGGCACGTTGCAATATGTGTGAAGCCTAGTCATAAAACGTTTAAACAATGTTGCGGCCAACGTGACTATAGATCTCTCTGGCAATTGGTCCGCGTGACATGGCACGTGCGAGATAGATAGGTGATTGTAGAGGGATTTCTGGGAGGCTTGCGCGCGCTCTCCGTCTGGTAGTTTTTATCAGATCGAAGGCTAGACGTGAAGCAAGCAAGCAAGCATGCGGCTAAGGCGGATCACGAGCAGGCGACACACAGCTGCTGGTACACGGGACGATCAGGGCAATCGCCGCAATCGCAACCGTGAAAACGAAAGCCTGGTGTCGCCGGGACGAACTATATAAGAGGAAGTTGTTGAAATAAACGTATAGCTGAGTTTGAGACCTGTCTGTTTTTTCTGTTACTTCTGCTCTTCAAAAAAAAAAACCAGTCTCAGGGTAAACGACGAAATGGTTTACGTTAATTTCCTCCGTCTACGGGATGGGCGCTTGCAGCGTGGTCGGCTGCCGCAGTGGGACTCGCTTTTCTCCAGCGGGAGTTACCTTTCACCGGTAAGCCCTTGGCGTATTACGCACGCATAGTTTTACGATAACAGAAATCGATCAAGAATTTTCTCAGATTTCCGACGGTCGCCGAACTGCGGAAACGATGGGCTTCGGCCGTTGGTCGCGCCGGTGGCTGGACCCCATCGAAGTGGAGCGTGGTGTGCTCCGTGCATCTCCAATAGTCAATAAAACATACCCCAACCTCGAGTCAAGTTGAGCTGGTTCAATGTGCCACGACCGCAACAAAAACTCCCCGTGGATGATCTGCATAGCGGCTGCAACGAAAAGAAAAAGCCAAACGTATTGTAGCGTGATATAACATGAAGCGCGAACTATTCCTTTATTATGTCAAAAACTATTGTCGTTCCGTACATCTTCAAAATAATCATGAAGGAGCGATTTTCTCACATTCCCCATGCATTTGTTGCCGGAGTTGGAACCCCCGGCCGTTCGCCGCTAGTCGCCGAGAGGCGGCGTTCTAGATGGAGCTACTCTGCTCCGAAGGAGCTATATAGTGCTCTAGTGGGGGCTACGCGGCTGACGTCATGCCCCCTCCTACCCTTCTAATCTCCTTGATGAAGGTACTCTGCACCGCAAGCGGATCACATGCAGTCAATTACTCTACGCCAGCGCCAGCCTTTACGCCAGCCCACAGCCAGTCCAAGCCAGTCGTGCTTGCTGCGCCATCTTTTAATAAGCGCAGCGAGTAGGCGACGGCGTCGTCCGTTTTCAACCTAGAGCTTCATGCGCGTGTGGGTAGATGGCGAAACGAGCACAGCTCTCGGACCAGTCGGTCGATCTCTCCAGAGACTGCCGTTGAAAATGTCAACCGCGCGAGTACAGATATTGCACTTTACCAAGAAAAGGTCCCCCGACAAAATAAAACTCAGGTAAGATTTCGACCTCGTTAGTGAACCTGAAGAGGTGTTTGGCTCTATTACAGCCCGTGCCCTCTGTTTATGCCACCCTACGCATCGCGAAGTCACTCGAACTGTGAGATAAATGAAATTAAAGGGTAAATGCTTTAAATTTGAAAATATAAAAACAAGGGGGTGAGAGTTACTTAGGTGCCGCCTTCGCCATATAATTATCAGGCTCGACGGACATCACATTAGAGCCGACACCGTAAACTGTCGAACTGAAATATTTCAGTAAGCTTTTAATTACTGGGTGGATCTTAAAGGCATACTTCCGTCAAATTTAAAATATATCCGTCGTGTTCAGATATAGGTTGAATATAATCCACAATATCCATAAATGACAATCGCACGTTTGTATTTTGAGCCTGGTGGCTGTATTTCTTGTTATAAACGTCCCACTCTAGCAAGCGCTCGGAGAAGGCCCAACTTAGAGCACGTGACATCCGACGCAATCGTGACGTAGGTCGTCTCGGGACGAGCAAAGCTACCGCGAAGCTGACGTCGAGAGGATAGCCTAGTCGTTCCAGCCACCGAAGCGGCTGCTTTTGTACGAATTTAGACTGACGGGATAATCTTCTATAATCTTGTAGGGGGACAATAGCGACTTCTGGGATACACAAAAGGGATTCTAGAGAAGAGGGGAGTTCCTCCTTCTCCTCTTCTTTCGTCGTGGCCGGAGGCGAGACACTCACCGTCACTAGCTGTCAAGGTTCCTTGACGGGCATTACAAACGAGGCGTTAGCGACGTCCACCAGGTGCTCTTTGCTAATCGTTTAATTCGTTTTAAAATTTCTTTTCGTGACTTTTTTTAACAAGATATTGGTGTGTTTAATGTGATACTGCTTCTTTGAACACATAAATACCATAAAATAACCGCCGAAATTTCGTTGTAGTATCCCTTTAAGATTGGGAGCTAACTTAACTTAAACAGTGGGTGTACCTGTTACGATTACAAAAACGGCGTTTCGTGCAAGCATTTCTTCGTGGGTAACAGTATCAGATAAAAAGGCAAACAATTACGCGAACATAAATGATGACAAACAAGGACATGGCAGTTTGAAAATATCATGCTGATGTATTTCTTGACTTTTATTATCTCCCAGAACGACTGTTACCTGTTCTGGTTTCTACTATATCATTTCAAAGGTTTTACTTGAAATAGCACGATAATAAGCATATTAAAATCCGAAAGCTAAATCGCTATCTGGTATCTATCCTTGCTCCCGACTGATTGAGCTAGACTCGGTGTTTAATAAATCGATGATATTTTTTATCCGAATACAGCCAAGTTTATAGTTTTCAGCGTTGGCATATGAACTGTAATCGAGCGCCTCGTACTTTAGGCTTAATAATTCCCTTTCAGTTGGAAGCCTTTTACTCGCTTGTGGGACTGGCGTTGTCATCCCTCGGATACCTTCTCGTGGGTCCAGCACCTTTCCTTCACAGCACTCGGTAAGTAGCAAAAATATTTTATTTACCTACGAAACATGAGCACGAATTACCAGTTACAATCATACGTGGAGATTTCGTTCCTACACAGATTTTCCGGAACTGCAGATACATTAATAAAGCAGCGAGCACTTCGAGTGCACCAAGCTACGGGGTAATGGGACCAATCGAGCAGCGTCAGATGCGTAAGTCGCTAGGTCGTTTTCGTTTATGATTGATTCAACGATGATAGATGACACCCAGAAACATGACGAACACCGCGATGGTGTTTTTTCGACGCTCTCTGATTTGTTCCACCATCTCGTAGTGTCGGCTACGTCTGGACTTAATTCAGCGTTACTAGAACACTTAACTGAGAAACTCGCCGTTGAAACCTGGGCCGCTGACGTCCACCGAGACTGAGCTAAATACGATAACAGCGGCACCCCTTAGCGATGAGTTGAAACATGACAGTTGCCTTATATGGCTACTGCTAGAGTCACCGAATGCTCTCAGAGTACCGAAACTCCCAGGCTTGAGGTGCAAAGTTGGCGGCTCAATCTTTTTTTCTTTGCTGTCGTTTCCTTCAGCATTTAGAAAGCATGTTGTTGCTTAAAAACAAACGAAAAAAAAAATCCTTTTGTAGCAGCTTTTTTTTGGATATTGGTAGAAAATAACATGCGCGAGATGTTTTCTACAATCTATAGTTTACAAGGTTTTGCGGCAGAAATAATATTGTTTTTATACAATTTGTCTCGCCGGTCATTTCTGGTAGTGCATCTCGACCTGGTCGCGTCCTAATTTCGTTCGTAATTGGTGCCGCGTCCGCTTAGGAGACGGAAGTCGGCACCCCTGAAACCCCTTCCACCGTACCTGTTTGGACGCCCAAAATGACGGATTAAAGCCAAATTAGAGCAGTCACAGCGGACGCTATAGAATGTGATAATCCCGGACTAATACAAGCAACCCTGCAGTTCCGGGAATGGCCGCTGCGGAAGAAGTGGCGGCGTTGTGATCGCCATGAGCTATGTTCTCGAGTACGGATGTGTGCCACTTTTTCGGAGCAGGCTCTATGGCAGTTTCCCAACTGAGTTGTTCTAGTAGCTTTTACTAAAGGTGAAAAAAAGTTCCTAGGTAAGACGCTCATACAAGTAGCGGCATATTTTGAAGCGCCGACTGCTTGACGGTGCTGATTTTAGGAAGCGAATGGCTGCTCACAGCAGAGCAGTGAACTGAATGACGACATTTTGTTCCTGCGGAATGTGCTTTGTCATGCGTTGAGTTGTCGTTACTTTTGCGCCGCGTAGCCGAAGACCGAACTGAATGACGTCATTTGTTTAATTGTCGTTACTTTTAAAAAAGAAGAAAAAAGCATGCGCCGAGGTGACGCCATTACGAGTCCACACCTCAGCAAGAAATGAAGAAAGCGCAAAGCCAGCTAAAGGACGTCGATATTGTTGTGCTCATTCAAAAGGAAAAATAATATGTGTAATTGTAATAATAATCTAAATACTACTACTACTGCTAGTACTACTACTACTAATATTAATAATCAATCAATGAATCAATTAGTGTTTATTTGAGTCTCCAGGAACAACTTCTTTGTTGTTAGTGCTGCACGGTTTGGCAAAACTGAAATCATTACAACGGAAGCACCAAAGCAGTGGCGGAACACAGTCCACCAGCTTTACGCCAAAAGTCACGAATTTGAAGACCGTTCAAGAAGTAGGAACACGCAAAAGAACAGCGTAGAAGCTACACCAAAGCTCGCATGTTCTAAACAAAGGCAAGTAACATGATATCGTAGCGACACACGAGTACTTATCAACTATTTTCAAGCCTTAAATGCTTGCAAACAAAGAGATAAAAAATTCTACAGCTCGAGCCAAACATATCGACTGCATCGGGGTACGTGTTCTAGCACTCCACCGATCAAGGAATAGGGCTTAATCGATTAAAATGCCGATATATATAAAACGATGACTGGTGCCGTGTAGGCACAGATGTAACTCTATGGCTCACTACTAACAAGAGGCTGGGAGAGTCAATAATACCGTGCAGAACCAAATAAATCAACAAATCAACCTTAGCCCGTCGCTGATGCAGGCTCAGCAAGTTCAGAAGCTGGGAATCAGTTTAATTGTTGAAGCAAAGTAAACCACTCTTTGCACAGCGATCTTTAAAAATTGAAATAAAATAATCTTGAGCTCTGTCGAGTGCCATGGAGTTAGTTTTAGAAACGCCGTTCCAGACAACTGAGACGAGCTCCACTTAAAATCTCACTAACGGTAGGTACAGTGTCAGAAACGCAAAAGGATTTTTAAATTCTTTTGGTATGCGACGTGTGGCGCTGAACGTGGGGAGATACGAGTTTACAACTCTTGCTATGTGATCATAACACCTCAAGCTCGAATCAAACATAACCCCCAGGTCCTTTTCTGTTAATGATCTTTGTCATAAACAATCGAAAACCAAAGTTATGACATTCCCACGGGCGGCAATGAATACAATTTTCACTAGTAAGCGTGAAACGCATCTACGACGAAACCGTCCGATCCGACGTCCGACCACGCAATACGACGGTTGGATTCGAGGGTTTTCAACGCTCTCCGATGCTACGAAACGCCTCGCCCCCCAAGGTCATTCCGGCAGTCCGCACGTCGGATCGGAAGGTTTTCTGGCACATGTGTTTCGCGCTATAGCATCTAGATCGAGTGACTCGCGTGTGCCTGAGATGAAGGACCAGGAGGTTATGTTTGATTCGAGCTTAAGGTGTTATATCTGCTCTAGAAAAACAGATATAACTTAAATAAATATTATTACTAAATATTAGAATGAAGCTGTACCCCAAAGTTTGTTTTATAAAATGTATTAATGTTTTCCTAATCATATCGTTTTAGTTATTCACTTTCAAACGTACCCCTTCCATCAGTGCGCGTTATTGCAACTGTTTACCTCTCCATGTCTTACGAATTTTTTTTTTTCTCCACAAATCTTTTTCTGGTCAAAACGAAGTGTTGATAAGTTTATACCAGGCACTAGACAATGCTAGAGAAAAATATCAGTTGATTTAAAAATGCCAATTAACCATTCTTTGGTCGGCCTTATCTGAAATCACACTCCCAGATGTTTGACACTACCAGCATATTTCAACGGAGGACACGCACAGCCAGCCCAGTCAGATCCGTGCAACATAATTCTTGTGCCCAAAGTCACACGCTTCAAGGGGTTCTTAAAGCAAACGAGAGTTTTCAAAGCGTTACTTGGGAAGAAATTCTCGGAGATCCAGTTACTTGCACCACGTCATGTCGGAGCAACTGTATAGCTCTGTATATATTTACCGCCAAATTCAGAAACCTCACTCAAACTACACTCAAACCGAAGGGCCCTCCACTTCCTCGAGCAAGGCGCGAGGGCCGGCGCTGGCCAATCGCGAGGACGGATCCGCCGTCGCGATTGGCCAGCGCCGGCCCTCGCGCCTTCCTCGAGGAAGTGGAGGGGCCCTTCAGTTTGAGTGTAGTTTGAGTGAGGTTTCTGAATGCGGCGGTTAGGTGACTGGAGACAATGAGAGTGTCGTCTGCATACTGAAACATTTTGCAAGTGAATATCCTGGCCCCCATATCGTTAACATAAAAGTTTAAATAACAAAGCGACAGAGCATAATAATAATAAAAATAATACTAAAATTTACTTCGCTCCTCGGCTGACGGGCGTGGAGGAAAAAAGCTGTCTTGTTTAGCTTCACGTGTCATCGACCACCTACACGTGTCATCGACCACCGCAAAGGTGAGACAAAGCAAAGAAAAATATAAACGCATAATTAAATTTCCGTTGGCACACTTTACAAAACAAAATGACTAAGGTATTCGTAGTACGTTTAGGTGGGGCGAAAATGACAAATGCTCGTAATTAGAAGAGAAGTGATCGAATATCTTCTAGAGGCAATTTATTCGATGTTCTATTTTAGAGGCATAAATGCAATTTTGGAATGATGTACCTTAGCACTTGTGCGCCATATTTTCTTTTTTGTGTAATCACCTCCTAGTATTCGCCATGGTGGGTAGGAAAAACGTTGACATTCCGTGATGAAGCTCTCCAGGTTTCTAAAAAGGTCGGTAACTCTAATTTTTTCTTTTACTTTTGATTGAATTTCACTCGTTTAAATGTACAACTTTAGAACTTCGCAACCAAGTTCCTCTTTTTTCGCGATGAGAAGAGGAGCGACGCAAATAAAGCAAGCAGGTGACTTAGAGGTAAATGCCATCTTCCGTTCCTAAGAGACAGTTTACAGATAAAAGACGCACAGCGCATTGACCCGCTTTGGCATTTTGGAGAACTGCTAGACTTTTTTTCTCCTCGTTATTTTTAGCGAGATTGATAATCAGCAAGCTAATAACGCGATAGGGCACACTGTCGTGAGTTCAATTACGAAGTCCGCGCCCGAAAAGACGTAATAAACGCTGCCCCAATTCTTCTTCTTTTTTACTAGATATAAGAGGAGGGCGTTTGGTAGAGATGTCAAAGACAATACTGCGAGCGAGGGTTCCAAAAATGCGCCTTTGGAGCATGAGAATGCAACGAGCGGCACGCCGATCTAGGGGTAACACAAAAAACGTGTAAGGAACGCGGGACCAAGCGCGCACCGTCATTCACTCTAAGAAAAAGGAAGAAAAAATGGAGGAAAGAACGATTCACCTCCCTGTCTTGAACGGAAGGGGAGAAAATTGCTTCCGTTCCTCCATTTCACCGATTCACATGCAACGCCGTCTGGTGGCGCTTGAAAAAGGGACCAAAACTTCCTCCTCCATGCTTCCGGCGGCAGCGGCAGACGAACCGCCGCTGGCGCAGCGAACATGTTTAATTGTTGGGACGGCAGGGACGGCAACGTGATTCCTTGATTGCTTTTTACGTACTTAGATCTCTTAGAAGGTGCGTTGAATTTAGATCGCAATTATAATAATTGGGTTCATTGCCGTTACGCAACGCACTGTCTATCATGTGCATTACAATAGAGAGTTTTAGCA